CCCGCGCGCCCCGCCCCGCCCCGCCCTGGCGCCCCCTGGCGCCTCCCCTGCCCCTCACCAGGACTCCTCTTTTTCCAGCAACAAGCCCCTGATAATCATCCACCACCTGGAGGAGTGCCCGCACAGCCAAGGTAATCCCCGGTTGCTCTGAGAATAAGTAAGATTCCTACATTGCTAAATGAGAAATCCGTTGGTTTTCCCGTTCTGGGTAAACGCTGCTTAAAAACAAAACAAAACAAAATAAAACAAAACAAAACAAAGAAGAAAAAGAGCCACTGCTTTGCTCGCTGCAGAAGCTGTAGTGAAATGCTGATTTGCACAGGCACGCGGAGTGTTCTTCAAGTTGCTGTCACATGTAGGTGTTTGTCAGAATATGAAATTTAAAAACATGGGAATGGTAATTCAGCATCACGTGACAGAGCGGGTACAGAAAAGAGCACAGGTCAGCATGTCTTGTTCTGTGGGAAATCTGGTTTTGGTTCATGTCACGATCATCCAAAACCAACAGCAAGACCAGAAGTAGTGAAAACCAGTAGCTGACTGAAAAGGGTGTATTCAGCTGTCAACAGCACTGGTGACTGCAACTGAATCCAGCCAAGAACTAAATCAAACTAGGCTGAAACTGAGCTCCTGCAGGATTTCTAGTAACTGGGAATGCTCTTTTCCAAGTGTTCCTGAATTTACTTGAGGGCCCTTCTTCCTGCAGAGTGATCTGCATGGCAAGACCTCTGCATCCACCCACAGCTCCAGGAACTCGAGAAGGATCTTTGCACAAGCATTAAAATCCTTTCCAACATTTCAACCTGAAGTTCTACTACACACTGCCAGTGCATTTTAAGGCTGGATCCAGAAGTTGCGAGTAGATTTGAAGGGTCAAATGCTTAAATTCTGTCTTAAGCAGACAAATTTGAAAGCGAGCTGCACTATATGGAGGGACATTTTGTACCATTATAATTATGCTTTACTGCAAAATATAAATGAGTCTATCATCTTCCAGTGGTATGAACTTAATATCTTTATTTGCTGTAATTGTAAACTGGGAGTTTTCATTTTGATTCTATCAGCTAGTTTGAATTTCTTTTTTAAGGACAATATATTTCAGGGGTATGTTTTTGACTTCCATTCCTGTTTGTTTCCACTGTAGCCCTCAAGAAGGCCTTTGCTGAACATAAAGAGATACAGAAATTGGCTGAAAAATTCATTCTCCTGAACCTAGTGGTACGTTTCCCAGTTTCACTTAATTAAGTGAAGGCAATAAAGTTTTACTTTTAATTATAGTTTCTCTAGCTATAATTAGTCTAATAGGTAGAGTTGGCTAAGAAACATGGATTGTGCTGAAGCATAATAGATTTAGTAGTACATCTCTTTCATCTATAGCTATCATAACCCCAAAATATGAGGTGATTTAGAGCTTAACAACACTAACTGTTACTAGTTTGCATCTCTAGCTGTTAATAGAGTGCATCTCTGTCAATTTCTTAAACTTCAAAATGTATTTTTAGGCTCTATTTCATAACATAAAAGTACAAAGAAGAAAAAATAGAATGATGTAACATGCCCTCCTGCAATCTTGACTTTATCTTTTTTCTTTAAGTATGAAACCACAGACAAAAATCTGTCACCTGATGGCCAGTATGTCCCTCGGATATTATTCATAGGTGAGTACCTCAAGCACCAAAGCTGACCTTGGACCAAAGCCCCTGTGGTGCCATGCATCTCAGATCCTCAGGCTTATTAACAGGAGTTTACTCCATGAGAATATAAAATGTTTGGTTGGATGAAATTTCAAAGCAACCCCAGATGGGCAATTAGCTCCACAAGTTCAGCTGTCCTCATTGATTCCATGAATTATTTCTTCCACTTTGGTATTGAAATGACATCATGCCACAGTCACTGGCGTGGGTGGGCACTGGTTCAGCCCTGCTCATCATGCTGTAAACCCATGAGGTTTCTGTTTGTAACACAATCTCAGACATGGCAAGAACAGCAGTGACCCTGGATGCTTCAGGGATCCATTTTTGAAGCTCCGTACTCAGCTCTGTCCTCCACCAACCTGTGCAACCCCCTCCTAAGCATTTACATTTTGGAGCCTTATTAGTGACGACTCATGCATGCAGGTATTCCCTCTCCCAGAACAGACACATAACCTTATATACTGCACACATCTGTAGCACATACCTTGATAAATCCATGTCTTACTGACAAAAGCAACTTTATTATTTCTTTTTTTAATTACATCTGTAACCTGAAAGCCGACCCAGCTTGCAGAGTTAATACAGGCACTATGCAGTGGCATAGGGTGCAAGGCTCATTCACACTGATCAGAATTAAACCTCTCCCCTTCTTAATAAACCAGCAAACATAACACTTAGAATTGAACTGTCAAGTGGCTGTGTAGAACGATTTGTTTGCTTTTGGTGAAAGCACACCTGTCTTGCAGAAATGCAGCAAGGGTTATTTCCTTCTGCTGGAAGGTTAGTTCTGTCCTCTACAGCTTCTCTCATTCTTTTTTTCCAGATCCTTCCCTGACTGTGAGAGCAGATATTACTGGAAGATACTCAAACCGTCTCTATGCGTATGAGCCCTCTGACATTTCACTGCGTAAGTAGTGTATTCTGAAATATACTGGAATATTCTGGCAGCAGTTTTTCACGCAACAAGAAGTAACATCAGACATTACAGACTCTCAGTACTTGCTGAAACAGAGTTAACCAGGATAAAAATTAACAGGATGCTAGACTTGGACTCAGTGAGGTGAAGAGAATGATGGCAGAGCCCTGGAGCCTTAACCATCAGTTTTAAAATAAAATGTGCGTCAGTAGGAACTTGCATAATTCAGCAGTATTCAGCGTGTGAGCAATGGTGAGAACTCTTGCACAGTAGCCCTGCTGGGCCAGATCAGGAAATCTGGGAGCAGAGAAGAATTGTATGATAGAGACCTCCCTCACCACTGCACAGCTCCTGTCTCTGCCTGTGAATGCCTGTGCATTTGCTTTAACAAATGTATGTTCTCACCAGTCAAAATTAAACAAATCATATTCACAAAATTCTTGGAAGAACACAGTGCATCAGAGTCTGTATAGCAATAGACAAGAACAAAAGTTTTAATAATGATGTTTTCTTTACATATTTGCAGTCACTGGAGGAGGAAATTGCAACAAAAATAACATGTATTAATATTTCATTTCTATTCTAGTGTATTCAAATATGCAGAAAGCACTGAAGCTCCTGAAGACTGAACTGTAAGGGAAAAGAAGGAAGCCCTTAAATACTATGAAGTCTGATCTTACATCTCTTCTCTACTCACTGAAACTGGTGAAGAGACTATTTAGTTATATTTAGTGATGTGTAGTGCTGGTTTATATATATAAGCACTACAGTTTTACGTTAGCACTTTTGTACTGGGAAGCATTTTTAAAAGCTGGAGGCTTTTAACTTAAGGCGTACAGAAAAATACTGTATGATTCAACTGTAAAAATGATATTTTAAAAAATAAATCCATGTCAAGTGTTTACATACAAAACATTGCTGTGTGTTGTATTTTTGCCTTATTATCATCTCTCATTATTAGAAAGAGTAAAATCACTGTGTCACTTCAGGCCACAGCTTGCAGTTTTACATCTAAGCAAGCACTTGGGAAGGAAAGGGGCTGCTGTGGGTTAACACCAACAGCTCAGCCCCACACAGCTGCTCACTCACTCCCCTCCAGAGGGACAGGGAAGAGAACTTGAGGGGTAATCTTGAGAAGACTCATGGGTGAAAGGAAAAAGCCATTTAATAGGTAAAGCAAAAGCTGCATGTACAAGCAAAGGAAAACAAAGGATTCATTCACTACTCCCATCAGCAGGCAAGTGTTCAGCCATGTCCAGGAAAGCAGGACTCCATCACACACAATAGTTACTTGAGAAGACAAACCCCATCACTCCAAACGTTGCCCCTTCTTCCCCCTGGTTTTATTGCTGAGCATGATGCCACATGGTATGGAACATCCCTTTGGTCAGTTGGGGTCAACTGTCCCTGCTGTGTTCACTCCCAGCTTCTCCTGCAACCCTAGCCAACCTGGGAGCAAGGCAGCATGAGGAGCAGAAAAGGCCCTGATGCTGTGTTAAGCATAAGTGACAACTAAAATATCCTTGTGTCACCAACACTGTTTTGATCACAGATACAAAGAATAGCAACACACAAGCTACTATGCAGAAAATTAACTCTACCCAGCCAAGCCCAGTACAGGAAAGCAGTTTTTAATCTAATTTCAGCAGCTAGTTAAGCTCTGCATTGTTCACCCTGCTTTAACTCAATTTATTTTCCCATAGCACCAACCTATGTCAAGTTCTCATTATCAGGCTTTTCTTTACAGTTCAATAACCACAAGTGCACACCTTTTACAGAAGAATACTTGAGACTAGAGAATGGGCTTGTTTACATGTGTAAGGCTTGTTTCTTTTTATAAACTGGCTGCATTTCAAAATTATCCAAGGACTGCCTTATCTACTTGAATAAAAAAAAAAAAAAAAAGTGCTTCCCTTAAAAGATTCATGCTTATATTGGAATCCAGTAAAGCCTTGAGATTGTTAACAGAAGTGATACTGTATTGAGTATATGGTTCATTCCACGATTGTTTTATGGCTTGTGATTGCTTATTTACAAGGCCAAATGGGCCACGAGAAGTCAGAACTGAAAGAAGCTATGTGGCTGAACACTGTGGGAGTACATACCACCTTATGATTTAGACCAAAAGGAGACTTTCCAACCTCAAATATCTAAGAAATTAGCAGCAGCAACAGTGAAAAACACTTTTCCCAGGACTAGACCTTCATTATCTTCTCAGCTTTTTGACAATGTCAGCCATTAATACAAATACTATTACCATTATTACCACTACCAGCCATAATGATAAGCACAAGAAAGAAATAAGGTAGGACAAGCAAGAGAAGCCAGGTTTCAGCCCAAGAGAATTTCTCAGCATAATTAGAGGCAAAGCACCTGCTAATGTCTTTGGCAAGCTGTGTGAAACCCTACCAACCAGAAAATTTCAAGTGGTACATAGAAGCAGCCGTGGACACCCAATTCAGTATTTCTTCAGCAGTTAAGATGTTCCTTCTACTGCAGCATCCTTTAGCTGCAATGAGAAATTTTTTTTGCTCAGAATTCTTCACCCAGGCAGAACACAGAGGGGAAAAAAGGATGTCACAGGGGATGAAATATTCTCTAGAAGCCTCTACCATCCACAAGTTACCACTGAGAAGAGGGACAGCACAGTGAGGCTGAACCAACTGGTTGTCCAAATCATCTTTATCTACTTGACCTAAATAACACTTGCCAAAGCTGTATATGCAGCATAAAGCAAAAGCTTCCTGTGCCATTACATTTTTTAAGTCTGTTTTTATAACTCTACTGAAGTACCATCACTTTCTTAAGCAGATATCCTGATGCTATGGATAATATCCAGCAGATGGATCTACATCCCATTTGCAAGTTTAGTAATTCATGTGCTTACTATACATGCAAATACACAAGCCAGTTCAGCCTGCAAGTATCAATACATTAATTTTTTAAGTATTTTTTTGCACTAAAGGCTGCTATGTTTTTTTACTTTGCTTTTGACCTTAGCCACATTTTTAAGAATCTTAATACATAAATGGTCAACTTAATTTTGCTCTTTTCATCCCCTCTTCTAAATACAGATTGTTTAGGCTTACAGAGGGATCAAACCAAGCTGAGGTATCTAAGACAAAATATTTTATTTTAAAAACCTGATAATTTCTGAAGTATATAGGCTCAGTTAACTTGAAGCGTGCAGTGTAAGTGAAGGTTCATGTCTATCTGAGGAACCTGAAGATATACAAGTCCATGGGACCTGATGAGACACATCCCAGAGTCCTGAAGGAACTGGCCAATGTAGTTGCCAAATAACTGTCCATGACATTTGAAAAGTCATGGCAGTCAGGTTAAGTCCCTGGTGATTGGAAGAAGGGACATGTTACACCCATATTTTAAAAGGGTAGAAAGGAGGACCCTGGGAATTACCATATCAGCCTCACCTCTGTGCCTGGGAAGATCATGGAACAGATCCTCTAGAAAACATGCTAAGGCACATGGAAGACAAGGAGGTGATCCAGGACAGCCAGCAAGGCTTTACCAGGGGCAAATCCTGCCTGACCAGCTTAGTGGCTTTCTACAATGGAGTGACTGCATCAGTTGACCAGGAAAAGCAGTGGACATCTGGACTTCTGCAAGGCCTTTGACATGGTTGCCCACATCTCACTGGAGAGGTATGGATTTGAAGGGTGGACAGTTTAGTGAATAAGGAACTGGCTAGATGGTCATGCCCAGAAGGTAGTGGTCAATGGCTCTAAGTCCAGATGGAAAACAGTGACAAGTTGTGTCACTCAGGGGTCAGTGCTGGCCCACTGTTGTTCAATATCTTCATTAATGATATTGATGGTAGCATTGAGAGCACCCTCAGCAAGTTTGCTGATGACACCAAGCTGGGTGGTGCAGCCGATATGCCAGGGGGATGAGATGCCATCCAGACAGACCTGGACAATGCAAGGCAAATTGGAACTTGAAGACCTTTAAAGTCCCTTCCAACTCAAAAAATTCTGTTATAGGGTTTCCAGAACCCCTCTAGCATTCAATCAATCTTTAAACAGGCCTAAGAATAATAATGCAAGCTAATACCAGCACACTCCTATTCCCTTCTCAGTTCTAGGCTTTAAGATACATTTTTACAGCTATCTGTTCAAGCTATGCAAGCTTTTTCTTCTTGTGATATAGTTCCTTTCCTGTAAAAGGAGGCAGGCATTGCACAGTGGCATCACTATGTTAAGATCTGGATTCACTTTCTTACAGATCCAAAATTGTATTTTATTATTTTTATAGGCAGATATTTTTATGTAATAAGAACGTGTAGGTGTCGTAAAGAAAATCAAGATGGGTTTCTACATTTTCCAGAATAACAAACTTTAAGAAAGCATTTCAACATATCTACGGACGAAAAGCAAATGCAACCACTGAGGATGCTCCAAGTTAAACTGTGCACTTTTCTGACTTTGCTGCTGTAAATAGCTTCTAGAAAATCTGTTTACAATTAAGCCAAATTCTTAAACTCAGACAAAAATTCAAATGCCTCTCTAGAAACCAATAAAAAAATATTTATATGGCCATCAGAATCTTCTCAAGACAAAGCAATGAATTTCAAAGACAAAACCCACCAAGATGCCCACCAAAAGTAAAAAAAAGTTTAAAAAATGTTCTGTTTCAATACTCAGAACAGTACATCTCTTGTGTAGTGACACGTGAGTCAGACCTCTCCTGAGGGAGGCTACTCGGGTCGGTACTGGGACCGGTGTTGTTCAACATCTTCATCAACGACCTGGATGAGGGTATAGAATGTACCCTCAGCAAGTTTGCTGATGACACTAAGCTGGGAGGAGTGGCTGACACACCAGAAGGCTGTGCTGCCATTCAGAGAGACTTAGATAGGTTGGAGAATTGGGCGGGGAGAAACATGATGAAATTCAACAAGTTTTACATTTGGGGAAGAACAACACCATGTCCCAGTACAGGTTGGGGGCTGAACTGCTGGAGAGTAGTGTAGGTGAAAGAGACCTGGGGGTCCTGGTAGACAGGAGGATGACCATGAGCCAGCAATGTGCCCTTGTGGCCAAGAAGGCTAATGGCATCCTGGGGTGCATTAGAAAGGGTGTGATTAGTAGGTCAAGAGAGGTTCCCCTCCCCCTCTATTCTGCATTGGTGAGGCCACATCTGGAGTATTGTGTCCAGTTCTGGGCCCCTCAGTTCAAAATGGACAGGGAACTGCTCGAGAGAGTCCAGCGCAGAGCTACGAAGATGATTAAGGGAGTGGAACATCTCCCTTATGAGGAAAGGCTGAGGGAGCTGGGTCTCTTTAGCTTGGAGAAAAGGAGACTGAGGGGTGACCTCATCAATGTTTACAAATATGTAAGGGGTGAGTGTCAGGGGGACGGAGTTAGGCTTTTCTCAGTGATGACCAGTGATAGGACAAGGGGTAATGGGTGTAAATTGGAGCATAGGAAGTTCAAGGTGAATATCCGAAAATTTTTTACTGTGAGAGTGACAGAGCACTGGAACAGACTGCCCAGGGAGGTTGTGGAGTCTCCCTCACTGGAGACATTCAAAACCCACCTGGATGAGTTCCTGTGTGATGTACTCTAGGTGACCCTGCTCTGGCAGGGGGGTTGGACTAGATGATCTCTCGAGGTCCCTTCCAGCCCCTAAGATTCTATGATTCTATGATTCTATGATACTCTCTTCCTCCCCAAAAACCAAGGTCAGACTCAATGCCGTTTACTGCCCTCCCTTAGGAATTAGGTTCTGAAAGTGAATCCATACCTCTGATGTAAATATCAATAATTGTGTACATTGTTACTTTTTTTTAAAATCACAATCTTGAAGAGACAATGTATTATTAATATGATAGGAAAACTTAAAACCATGCAATCCACGGATCTGCCTTTTTGACCACTGAAACAAATTCACATGTTCTGAGACATGAATTTCTGAAGGGGTAACATTTTCAGTTATTTTCTCAGTGATGCACATGTACACTCTAGTATCACCTACCACGTTTATTAAACCAGACCTACTCAAAAGCACTAAAAACAATTAGGAAAAAAGAAGTCAAAACTGAAGCTCTGAAGTGTGAAGCAGCAGTGTAAATGATGTGCTTAAACGAGACACCAATACTTCTCAACGCACCCAGCAGCAATTGACAGTCTGAAGACCAGGAGATGGCGCTGGCAGCAGACGTTGAAGAATTAGCTACACCTGACAGGTTTTCAGCAAGTTGTCATTCATCCCTCTGCCTTCAGGTTCAACTCTTTCCCCTCCGAGACAATTCTTTCTTTAGGAGCACTGGGCACATAAAACTCTGAAAGTGTTCTGACAAGCACCTATTTCAATGTACTTTTGCCTCCTTTGAAGGCATGTTCCTAGTAAAGTGAGACTGTATGAGAACCCACTTCTGCCTGCCCTGTCTTCCTTTCCACCTCCTTCAGCTACTGTAATTCTGGGCAGATGGCCTTAATACCTTCCTGCAGAGCTGTCTCTCAGGCTGCAGCAGCTGCCTATTACACCAGAAGCAGCAACTGAATGAAAAGGTGCAGTGCAGGTCTGCAATTCAGTGTAATTAGAAATGAATGAAACATTATACACCTTGGGTGTCTAGATGTCTGATGTTCCAGCTGAGATGCATCACTTCTGTTACAGGTTGGAAGAGGGACCATCATACTTTCCTTCAGCTCAGACAACACTTAACTACATGCCTAGTGTACTGTTCCAATTTTAATTCTTTCCTTTTTTGTTTTGTTTTGTTTGTTTTTTGTTTTTAAACACAAACTACTGGAAACCACAATTTATTTATTGTTTTACTTTCTTTTTCTTCTTTCTTTTTTACACATCATTCAATCTCTCATGAAATCAAGACTGTTAGCTGGATGACAGAAGAATATACACACTGCTGAGTTATTACAACAATAATTTTACACCATCTGAAAAAATAGCTATACAACAACTTCCCAGACATCAATTTTCTTACAACTAATGATGACAGACCAGTATTAATTCTGATGTGCAAATACCAAACTTCATTCACTTGTCAAAGAAAAAAAAAGTTTCAAGTTAATCAGCTGCAGATTACATTCTCCTGGTTTTCTTCATTCATTTTTATCATAGTGAAGATACCCATTAAAAAGAATTATTTTTATTCTCAACAGAATTCTAAAGCTACCAGAAATGCAAAAACAAACCGGGAGGGGAGGGGTCAAGACTACAGTAGTCATTAACATACTTATGTGCACTACAGAAAGTAACATCTTTAGCTTCTATTTTTACCTTAACAGGAAAGTGGTAGACCATTATTAGGACAAAAAAAAGTTGACTGGAGTTCATCCTAAAGCCTAATCAAATCAAACAGTCCAACCATCTACCATAAATTTTATAATTTTAATGAGAAATCACAAGAATTTATGAAATCAATGAATACAGCAGAAAATACTTTAGGGTATTTTTGGACACCAGAGAAGACAGTAGTGCTGTAAAGCTCACTGTATAGAGTTCCACCTATCAATTATCAAAGTCTTAAGAGTTATTTAACCAGCTCAGAGCAGCATTTTGACTCTGCCTAGCTACTGAATGCACCAGTCTACTTCAAGATAGAGATTCTTAGAAGAAAAGTAGTGGAAAATTAAATATGAAAACTACAAATCTCTTATGGAAAAAAAGTTTTCTTTTGTGTACATGTAGAATTCCTATTATGGAGAAATACCTAACTATGAAGAATCAGTATTTTGAAGTACAGGGTGCAGAGAGAAGATTCAGTCCTTCATAAACTTATCAAAGAAATGCACTAGGGTTTGCACGAGGGTCCTTTTGGTTCCTGTACCTATATGTCAGCCACACTCCCAGAATCTGAAAACAAAAAAAGAAAGATCTCATTAAGCAGAGGGTTTCCACCCCATCTTTCACCTCTTTTACAAAATTTGTTTTAAACATGAAATCCTGACAATGAGTTCCCAGTACGCAAGCTTAGGATATTTTACTGATGCTACAGTTGCACAACCACATGCCAGCTTTCTTAATTAGAAAAAAGAATGTACCTTCACAAAATGAGTTCATACCTAACCTAGCAACAGAGAGAATAAAACACAAAAGTCAAAAATATATTTGCAATGCAAGGCAATTTATTTCCCATAGGTATGCCCACCATTGCATTATTCTTCCCGCTCCCCAAACGATCAATATCATAAACCTGTTTTTAGTGTAATGATAAACAAATCCTCCAAACTGTGTCACTTTACAGTAACCACTGAAGTATAAGGCTATTTTTCTCAGACATTTTCAAATCTTATCATTCCTCACAACCACCTTCCCCTGTCTCAGCAACTTCACATTTTCAGTAGAGAAATTGAGGGCAGATGTCAGATTGATTCTGTTTAAGTTGCTGCATCTCTCGTTGCTCTAGTATCTACAAACCTTCTGAAAACTGCACTAAGCAGCAGGAAGAGTATTTTCACGTGCTCTACTCTGAAGTTATGAAAGACCTGTCCTGAGGATTTTTATCCACAAATCAACATAGCAAATATATTTATCATCTGGGTACTAAAGCAAGGAGTTTAAAACACAGTTGACCCATCATGAACCTGTCTTTGCACTACAGGAGGAACAAAACCAAATAATCCCAAAACTAAGAAGTCTCAAAGACCATGTGTGTGCACAGGTGCAGGGAGGTGGAAAGAACAGGGGAAAAAAGTAAAGCAACAACACTCATTGCTTTTGGAGAATGGTAAATCTGAACAGCTAACTTTCTGCAAAACTTAAAAGTTTACTGCATCACACTTTTACGTGTTATCTAGCTGCGGTCTGTAGTCTAAACAACATAATCCTGCAAGAACTCCCAGTGTTTAATAAAGACAAACTCTCCTTTCAGCAGACTTGAGCAAGCTGATAGTCTGGAAAAATCTGACCCATTTCATTATTTGACTCCTAAGATAGTACTGACAGTTCCTGTAATAAAGCCCTTAGAATTAACTGTTTCACAAAAGAAAAGCTTAAAAGTGGGGGAAAAGCACTCTGTATTCCAACGTTCTACTCACTCACCTCTGTGAAACTGAAGAAGAGTCCTATGCCTCCAACAAACCTCAGCACCATTTCGGAGTACTCCTCTATTATCGGTGCGCATGGTTGACACTGACGATTTCTAAAGCAATCCTGTAGCAGTTACAAACAGAGAACTGCACTTCATTTTCTGATCACGTTTCATTGATTGCAAGCATCTAGTTAGCTCTATAAAAGACTACCAGCCATGAACAACACTCCAGTGGTTTTAAAAGACTCAAAAAAAGCACAAATATATATATATATGATAATGGAATAGAACTTTGTAGGGTGCTCTGTGTTTCCAATAATTAAAGAGCTTAGTATAATTGTGACAACTACCTTACACGTGTTAAAAAACTCTGCTTTCTGCAACTGTGGAAACAGTTACACATTTCTGAACAAACAAAATGAAAGTTATGTTTTTTCAAACTTCAAGAACTTACAGAAGGGCAGGGTTCATATGGATCAAAAACTCTAAATCCACAACAATTCAGACTTCTCTCAACATCTGTTCTCGCGCTTTTAGAGTTATTCCATCCCACCTCTAGAAGTTGACCCTAGAAGACATAAGCAAATATTGCATTATCTGAACTGTTCTACATTTCATTTGAAACCACTATACTAAGCCAAGTTAATAGTTCCATAACTAAAACCTTCAGATCTTGAAGTCTAACAGGGTAACGTATTACAGAATGACTTGAATGTTCAAGCGGCCTGTGTAGCTAATGAGACAGCATCACCTACCAGCAGCAGCATATTTGTGGTTATAATTCAGTTCCTTCTTTTCTTTTTCCTAAACCCATCAAGAGCACTAGTAATGGGACACACAGCTCATCTAACTAGGATTGCTCAGACTTTAAACAGAAAGTGCAGTTACATGTCACAGCTGATTATTTAGTCACTGTACCTTTGCTTGCTTCTTACGAAGTAAGCCTTAGTCTCCATACCCCATGGTTTTACTTTCACACTTAAGGGTCACCTCCATTTCTAACGTAGTTACAACCTTTTCAGTTACACAAGAATAATTCAGTGGCTTTATCATCTTTACATTAGATTACAGTAGACTTCACCAGATTATATGGGATAGCTAATCACATGACATAGTCAAGATATCATGCTGCTTACATTTGTGACCATAAACCCAGACTGGAAGCATAAAAAATACAAAAAATAATAAATAAATAAGACAGCTGAAAGCCATGATTTTAGGACCCAAATGTATTTATTTCTAGCTACCAGAGCCAAGCACTGCCTGAGGTCTAGTTTTTAATCTGACTTTCTGACTTTAATGCTGACTTTCTTAATATATGCTCTCTTCCTTTTGTGGAAGACTGTATATAAATGTGTGCATATGTGTATACATATTTATAATATTATGCTACAGATTAAATGAGAAGTCAAGAACCTTTTCTTACCTGCTGATCCTTGTTTAGTGCCAAGCAGGCACAGGAGACAGAAAACTGGACAATAAAAACTAGAAAAAGAATAATCATGTACTAGAAACAATAGTTAAGGAAATACTTTTAAATTAATTCTGCTTTTGTAACACATATGCCTACTGGTATTCCTTATTTCATTGGATAACAGTAATTCCTTTAAAACAAAAGAACTATAGAAGTAAGTTCTGTCTGGATGTGGAAAAGATGACCCAAATAATGTTCCAAGAACTCAATCACCATATATTATGTAATTTTGGCTACTACTGTACGTAGCTGGTTCCTTGCCTAGCAAGACAACATGAGCAGAGAGGTTAATAAAAGGAGCTTTGAGAGAGAAAAAATCTACAGTAAATGTATCCAGCTTTAGAGGCTCATGTTATCATTTCATGACCCTTCACTTAAAGTAGTAAAAAAAATATTTTTCTGAGTATTGCATATTCAAATTATTTTTTTCTTCAATGTCATAGTCTTCCAATTACAAAAGATAAACTTAGCCTAGAATTTTTTCAAAGTAAGAGTTGCTTTTAATACAGTTTTACACGCTTTTGTACTAATGCATCAGAAACCTGTATGTAACAAAAAGAACAAACCTTTATACTAAAGTTCACATTTTCAGAGTTGACCCCATCTTCACAATTTGGCTGCTGAGTCAGAGGCAGATACTTATCTCATGCAATTAAACCGTTTGTAAAGTAGAGGTCACTAATTATTCATAGATGGCAACCAGAAAAATAAGAATGTTATCTGATGAATCTCTTTTCTTGTCATGCAATGCAGCACTGCAGACTGCTAACAGAGTGTCAGTAAGCATAATTGGGCAGCAAAGCCCACTGAGAAGGCCTGGGCTCATTTCTACCGTGGGTTTGCAGTTAAAGACTAGGCGTGAAAAAGAAGTTATCTTTAATAAGTCTGTACTACCCACAATGCATTCCGCTGCCAGCTACAACCTGCTTGCTATCTGGAGGTACCACCTTTCTCTACAGTTAATCATTAACAGTTCACATAGTCTAGCTTGGTGTAAAGCTGAACACACAGTAAGAGGCAACTGTGACACAGTGACTCACCATGAAAAAATTCTCAAGAATTAAAAATACTTCAATTTTCAGAACACAAACAAGGAAGAAAAAAGGAAGCTGGGATAAAGTGAAATGGAAAGGAAGTTAAATTTAGACTGCACTTAAGATTGTAATTTCTGTCCTGTTTCTGAAGCACCTCCCCCATCTGTCTCAGCTGACAGAGCAGGTTTGTTTTTATAGCTTGAACCAAGCTGTGATCCATGTAATGCATTAAAAGGATACAAAGAATAGCAGTACTTGATGATGTTTCACTGCACCAATCAATCCAACTAAGGCAATAAGGAACAGGAAGATTCCTACTGCAATTACCACTCCAACAACTCTGAAGCTACAGATGAGTCCGAAGCTGACTCCCCATGTTGCAATTCCAATCAGCAAAAAGCTTACCAGCTGGAGGGAAAAGAAAACAAAAAGTTAGACTGCACATTAAAGGAGGCTCAACCTACACATAGGTACATTTAGCAAGAGCAAATGCAAAGTCCCACGCCTGGGAAGGAACAACAAAATGCACCAGTACAGACTAGGAGGTGAATCAGCTAGAGAGCAGAGTCCATGGAGAAGGACCTTGGAGTCCTGGTAGACAACAAGTTATCCATGGGACAACAATGTGCCCTTGTGGCCAAGGAGGCTAAATGATATCTTGGGGTGCGTTAAGAGGAGTGTCTCCAGCAGATCAAGGGAGGTTCTCCTCCCCTTCTACTCAGCTCTGGTGAGACCTCACTTGGAGTATTGTGTCCAGTTCTGGGCTCCGCAGTTCAAGAGGGACAGGGATCTACTTGAGAGAGTCCAACAGAGGGCTACGAGGCTGATTAAGAGACTGGAAAACCTGCCTTGTGAGGAAAGGCTGAGAGACCTGGGGTTTTTCAGTCTAGAGAGGAGAAGGCTGAGGGGGGAATCTAATTAATGTCTACAATTACATGAGGGCTGGGCATCAAGAAGGCAGGGACAACCTCTTTTAACTAGTGACCTGTGATAGAATGAAGGGAAATGGGTTCAAACTCGAGTAGAGGAAGTTACACCTCAACATGAGGAAGAATTTCTTTACTGTGAGGGTTACAGAGCACTGGAACAGGCTCCCAGGAGAGGCTGTGAAGTCTCCTTCCCTGGAGACTTTCAAGACCTGTCTGGATGCCTTTCTGAGTGATCTGCCCAAGGTTTTGGATTTTTTTTTGGTTGGGGTTTTTTGTTTGGTTTTTGTTCTGTTTGGTTTGTTGGTTTGTTTTGTTTGTTTTTGTTGGTTTGGAGATCAAGAGCATTGTTGAACCCAAGTCAAACAGTGACAGTTTGGTTGGTAGGGGTTTTTGTGTGGGGGTGGTTTTTTGTTTGGGTTTTTTTTGTCCTGCTCTGGCAGTGGTGTTGGACTCAATGATCCCTAGAGGTCCCTTCCAACCCCTAATATTCTGCGATTTACATTAAAGTTGTTATTAGAAAGGTAATACTGTTCTTTACAGTGCAAAGAGAAGTACAAGCCTAAACAGACCAATCCTCTACTTCACTGTAAAGGTAACTTCAGTTCCAGATGTTTTAAGGCACGTGTATTCCTCCACACTGTTAATGGAGAGCTGTTACAACTTAACCCACCTACAAGTAAAGCCACATTGCATTATCTGTGACTGACTAGAGACACTCAAGTGCAGTATATAACATAATTGACAAATAAGCTAAAATCATAGGCTTTCATTCATAGAATGGAAGAACACTGAAAATTCCAGATGTCTTCTGAAACACAGGCAGTATACTTAAAGAAAACAAGACATACAGCTCCACAGCTGTGAAGATATAAAAAAGTGCACTTTTCCAAAATTTACTGTATCAGAGACACAGCCGTCTTAACTCATTAGAGAAGCTTCTACGTAGTTGATGATATAACAAAACAGTTAACAAGGTCACATGAAAATTATTTTTCGATCTCTATCTCAAGGACTTAATGTAGTAAAACAATAAAGGCACCCTGTCTCTGCTGCATATTTCTGAAAAAAAAAAATAAAAATAGCTCTAATATGAAGTCAATCCTCTTTTCAATAACCAAAGCACTCTTACACTGTTTCCTTCCTTTTAAAGATGGTATTCAGGGAAGGCAGGCAGAATCTGCCCCAGTTAGTTCAGTGGAATTTATTGTTTACATGGGCAGGAAGGTCCAGCCTTTCCTGTTTCCATGCCAAAAACACAGAACAAAAAAAAAAAAAAAATTCAACATGGAAAGCTGCAGAGAAGTCTCTAATGAGGTACAGCAGGAGGGAAGCTGCAGACAAAGCCCACCCAGATGTCCAGTGCACAAGATGCCTAACACTCTCTTGTTTGAAACAGTTAGGCGTAGGTATAATGTATTGTCCATTACATTACCTGTTAAATAACACCAACTCAACGAAAAGTTTTAACTTTGCAAAACCCCAGGCTCACAAAAAAAGTATCTAGAAGTTGTATCATTATTTTTAAAAAAAGGCAAAAAACAAAAAAAAAACCAACAAAACTGTGCTTTATCTAATCCAACTGCTTGGCTTTATTCGACAATAAATATAATGCGAGCACTAACACTTGCTCAACGGTTTCCATTCAAACAACTTATCTCATTATGTTTTACTGCTTATCCAGAAGAGTGAAAAAAAAAAAAAGAAATTTCAGTATACTTACCCTACAGCAAGTGTATTTTTTTAACTTCAGTACTTTTTAGAAGACTGACGAATGTAATGCTGCTTTGAAACATGAAAATCCAAAATAACATTAAAGAAGCTAATAAGACAAGTGGTGATGCTCATCAAGAGCATGGTGAGTGTTTTTCTCATGTGTTCACATGGGAACACATACCAAACATTTTTTTTCCAAAAGCCAGTAATCCAATGAGAAATTTAAGAGAGTCTACAAGAAGACATGGAGGATTTTTGTCATACCTGCTCCTCTCTCTTACACTATGAAGAGACAAGAGAATGGTATAAAATTTAAGGAAATTGTTCAATACCAGTAGAGTTTTAGGGATAATTCACTTTAGTCTTTGCATCTCAAAAAAAAAAGCCTTAATCCCCATGTTTAGTTAAAACAAAAGCACTGGGCCAAAATGTCATGAATCTAAATTACAGGGAGAGGGGAAGAAAAAATGAAACAAAACAAAGCCTTGGCTCTGCCGCAGACAGATTTTCTGAATGCATGCTGAACTTCCTGATGTTACAACAATGAAAATTAACCTTGCTAATCAAGCAGTAAAGTGCAAGATCTAATTGTTCTCATCTGTGCCCATTCACTTTATTTCATTGTCTTATACCACTGGGAATATTTTTCCACATAAGCATCAGAAGTGAACAACAAAAGTAATCACATAACCCAATTTCCAATTGCAAAGTGGTGGCTGATGTCCCATGCTTTGCATCACCTTCTAAGCACTGAATGCACATTTTGACTACAAACCTCAAGTGAAATGTCAAATTTCAATTTATTTCATAAAGAAAAGCCAAAGAAACTTTGCTCCTCATGATTTTCACCAATGCTTCGTTCTTCTGCTACAACTATGACTGCATAGAAATCTTTATTTTAACAAATCTGCCTCCAGGATACCAAAATGTGTATTTGTTTAGCTTTTTGCTCATTTCATAAGAGGTCAAAAACACTTACATGAAATAAGTTTTATTCTTAAAGTATCAAAATCAAAAGAAGAGTCTTATCTGCACTACTGGATAAATGCAGGGCATGAACTGCAGGGTACTGGCTACTTCTTGCTGCTGCTACATGTCTTGGCATCCATTATTCTGGCATCTACGTGAAATTAGCATGTACAACACTAAAAGTTACTACCACAAGCTCTGGTCCAAAAAGCTCTTCTGTTAGAAACTGTCACACGCTCAATAAAGAACTGCCATGATTTTCAAGTAGAAAAAAAAGCCTCTCTGTCTTATAAAACTAATTGTTGATCCCCAGATGTTCAGGGATCAGGTAACTGGCTTTGAAAAATAACATAAAATAGTTCAGTTTCTCTTTTGATCATGTTATTTTAGAGCCACCCATCTCATTTTCAAGCTTTGCCTCCAGTGTTTAGAAACAAAAGGATTTAGATATTCTATTTCTAAAAGTGAATTTGCCAACATTTTGTAGTAAAATGATTTTGAAACAAAATTACTTAGTGACCCTAACTACTTTTAGATGTGCAATCTAAACGTATAAGCTTTATTTACTTATATAAAAAAAAAATATATATTTCTGTTAAATACAGGAAAAAGGATTCTGTATGGGGCTTCTGAATGTCATATTTTATTTTACTGAAATAATGTTTCACAGCACCAGAACTCCCCCAAATAAAACAGCATCATCCTTGGAAGACTGAAGTAGAGTTCCATTTTACCTACATGATTATACCTACATGAAGCTAACCTTGCTACTAACATTGCAAATATTTGCTTGATAAATGTACCATAAATATATGAAATCACAGTCCAGTTTTTGGTGATCTGTTTGGTGATCCTGTTTCCCACAGTTGTTTCATTCATAAGCTGAAAAGGCATGGCTTGAAGAAATGACCTGCTAGACTGAATGACAACAAGTGGGACTGCTGAGCTTAAAGGGTAGTAATCAATGGCACAGCATCCACCTGGTAGCAGGTATGAAGCAACACCAAGGCTGATAATGGGGCCAATATTATACAGTACCTTCATCAACAATCTGGGTAATAAAAGACAGAATAAATCCTCAGAAAATTTGTGGATGTTACTAAACAAAGAAGAGTGACTGACTATCCAAACAGATATTCAACTCAAACAGACCTTGATAAACTTGAGGAATAAGCCAACAGGGTCCTCATGCAGTCCAAAATTCTGTTCCTGGGGTGCTTCGGGAGAGCCTGCGAAAAGACCTCTTGAACAGCCTTACTCAGATAGCCCCAGGGATCATACTGGTTGTCAAGCTGAATGTGAGCCAAGAGCTTGCTCTCAGTGCTAGTAGGGAAAGCCAAGAAGAGTGTAATCAAAGGAAACCTAATGCTGGTGAGACTGCAGTTCTAATCCTGTGTCCTATTTCAAGCCCCTCAGGTCAAAAAGGAATTTGAGAATCTGTAGAGAGTAACCAAAATGGCCTGGAGCCTTGAGGATGATGTTTGAGAAGCAGGTGATGGAGTTTGTTTAGGGTGACAAAGAGGCTGCCTAGGGACAACCTAAAAGCAACTAAAGGTGAAGATGCATTACAAAAACATTGAAGGAAAACTCTTCTCAGGATTGACTGACCACAAAACAAGTGGCAATAATGACAAGTAATGGCTTGGGAGGTTCAGACTGGACATTAGACAAAACACCTGCAAGGCAGTTGGGAACAGTACTCAGAAAGGTCATAATCTTTCTTCTGGGAGGTTTTCAAGACGCAGCAGACAAAACCACAGCTGGCCACAAGTGTTATTTGTAATCCTGCTCCGAGCA